TCTCAACCTAGTGTTGGGGGCAGCCTACTATCTTACCTCCCCCTATCCCATTACATATGAGAATAAGGGACAGAAAAAAAATTATTAATAGGTATATTAATATAATAGATATCCATAGATTTTTTTTTGAAAGAAAATTTGTATGACTTTATTGATGTAGCATATATAAAACAAGAACAATGAAATCTACCTCATTAAAAAGTCTCTCTAAATTTAAGTAGAAGAAAAAGAGGAAATCATTTTAATATCGATACAATATAGGTAGGGCATACCAACTCAGTAAACTCACCGAAGTACTTCCTTATAATAAGGAACCAAATAATGTAGAGCCCATGAAATGGAGACAGACACTTCTAATCTGTACCAGACAGACATTTTAGCACTGAACTGCTACTTCACAAATCACATACAACCAATATTTAACTGTGAGAAAGCTGCTCTGCAACTGCAATTAACCTTAGACAATGGAACGATATGTGGTGTTTAAACTCAAAATTTTAAAGAATAACAATAAGTCTTTCAATTAACGCTCACACCTCTGATAATCTTAATAATCGAACTCGAAACTTCAAAGAACAACAATAATTTCTTTATCACCGAATTTATTTGGTTGATAATTTTTTACTCGCAAAAGTTACTTGATGCGATGATTATTTTTCATATAAAAATTATATGTTATGGTGATTATTTGTAACCTTTTTTTTCATGCAAAAGTTATAATTTTATTGTAGGGAAGATTTTCACTTTTATTTATGTTTTTAATATTGCATAAATTTTAATTTTTTATTATTATTATTATTATTATTTATTATTATTATTATAACACGTTAAAGGCTATAAGTTTAAATATAGTAAGTTTAAACGTGTTTAGTTGTACATTAACTCTCGATTTAGAAGAACTAAGGACATAATTTTTTTTTGGTTGCAAAATACTAGGTTGAAGGTGGTTCTAACTACTGCTTAGGGCATTCTTATCTGCGAAGAGGATCCTACGAGCTTCCCTTGGAGGATCACGGAAGACACAGGTGCTGGTGTTCATCTGTCGTCCGAGCTTAGCCATAAAGTCGGGAGACTATTTTTTAAAAATAGTCTATATGATATATGTTTTGATTTTATATTGTATTAATAAAATAGGTAATTGGCTGTGTACAAAAGGAAGAGTAATCTTATAGCGTAGAATGAGATTTAAAAGACGGTGTCGGTTAAACTTTTCAAATGATAAGTATTTTGATATCGTTCAAGCAGATTTCGAGTTTGAGTTATTGTGTATATAAAAAATCTTCATTAAAAAACTCACCCACCAATCTTACAGAAAGTGCCCAAACGATGATGGATTCGAAATCTTTGGGATAAGCACAAGTGTGGTTCACTCCATCATCAAGCACGCCTTCCTGCCAAAAATTGTTTACAAAATTGAACACATGCCTCCCACCCTGCTCTATTTTTTTTGGTAAAACGAGGCCGGGAGACCGTCTGCTCCTGGAGCTTTACTCGCATCCATGTTAAAGAGAGCCGAACGAACTTCTTCCATGGTAATGCCGAGCAATAAAGGTCGTAACTCAACATCATTGGATCTGAAAAAATTACTCGCCTTCAACATACGGTCATAATTAGCTGCAGATGTGAAGAGAGTTCGGAAGAAAGCGATTGCTTCAGCTTTAAGGCGATTTGAGTTATCGAACCAATCTCCATCTGACAGTTTCATCATACCAATCTTGTTATGTTTGCGCCTCACTATCACTGAAGCATGGAAGAAAGCCGTGTTTTGATCCCCCTTCTGAATCCAGGATTGTCGAGCATGCTGATGCCATGAGCTTTCTTCCTGGGAAAGAACTAAATCCAACTCCTTTTTAAGCTCAATCTCTAGCTCGACAAGTCGATCATTATAGTGGAATTCAAGGGTTGCTTCAATCCCTTTGATTCTAGCCATGAGATGAGCCTTTTTTCTCCCAGTGTGCCCAAAGACTTCAAAATTCCACTTCTTACTAACCTGTTGAAAGTTTCCTATGTTCGCTAGGATGTGTCTGTCATCATGCCGAGCTTTTTCCAGCATTCGTTTGAAGTCTGGGTGCTCGCTCCAGATAAATTTGAAAGAATATGGTCGCTGACAAGACTGAAACTTTTCCAACACAAGCATAATTGGGCGGTGATCTGATCCCAGCTTTTGAAGCTGAACAGCCTCAGTTTGATCATAGGCCTCCAGCCATTTTCTATCGCATAAACACCTGTCCAACCGCTGAGAGAGAGTGACTCGTTTCCAAGTGAAGCGAGGTCCTCGAAAGCCTAAATCACACAAACCGAACTCAAAGAGAAAGTCGTTAAATTTACCGCAAACACCCACTCTCCTTTGGGAGCCTCCCTGACGCTCCCCCAAATTTGCAATAACGTTGAAATCACCCCAAGATCCAAGGCCAAGCTGAAGCATGCTTAAAACTTTAAGCTGACCCTAAGGTGACTTCTCACGTTACCATCAGGAGAGGCATAGACGAATTTAATGAGAAAATTGTGAACATTATCACTCGATGAGCAAACACCATGAATAAACTGATTCGAGACAGCAAGAATATTAAGACAATCGAGCTATTCCAAAGCACCCATATCCCACCTGAGAGACCCCTCGCATCGATCCTGTAAGAGTAATCAAAATCAGAACACTTGATGAACTTATCAGCCGCACTACCACTGATTCTTGGTTAAAAAATAGAGATAATGTCAGGCTTCTGAGGTTTCATAAATAGCTTGAAATACCGTTTGAAAGAAGGGCTTCCCGCGCCCTGCACATTCCAAAACAGACACTTAACCATTAAAAAGAAAAGCTTTGGAGGTATCGAAACAAACCAATTACTGCCCGGTAGCTTCAGATCCTTCAAAGGCTTAATTCTCACGCCATTGAACTGCAGTATCGCCTCCCTTTTGATCATTAAGGGACCCACCATCCCTCGTAACACTTGCACGGTTAAGCTCGGATGACATGGCCGAGACCCATTCAGCCAACACCGGCGCTATCTCCTTTACTGGCGCTAGAGCCTTGGATGTACCTTTACTACTAACATTGCGTGATGTGCGCTGTAGTATTATGGTATTTTGGACGCTAGGGGTCTGGTTTTCATTGTTTTCCACCACTTGCACTGCAACATGTTTATCACGACTCAAAGATGAGCTCACCTGGGTTACCATACCTACTGACGCCACCTGAGAATTATTAGCAGCCCCTTCTTAGACCATAGGAGCTTTCATGGAGTCCTCCTTATTTCTCGTCTGGTTGATTCCTTGCTTGCTCGTCTCTCCTTTATATTGAGGGATAGTCCTCCCATTACCTATTCCCAACTCTTTAGAACTCGATGGTGTCGTTCTTCCCTGGTTCAACTGTACCGAAGTGCTCGGACCTTTGTTCTCTATTTCTCCAACCACATTTAGAATACTAAACTGAGAAACACCATTACGGCCCATAGTGGTTTACTTCGAGGGTGACGATTCAGCCTTTTTATTTTCGCTGGGTTTTTTTCTCTTCCTATTAACAACCTGTATCCATGGTCCGTACAATTCATCAGAGTTCTCTTTCGCCTGACCTTCCCGTATAGTTTCCTCGCAACTTCTAAGTTTTTAGCACAGTTTTCCTTAACATGGCCATACTTCCCACAACTAAAACAAATTGTCGGGAGCCCTTCATATTCAATGGCTTGGCGATGACGATCGATAATTATTCCAGCAAGTAATGGTTTATCTAGGTTGACCACAACAGCGGGTATAGTAAACCGACCTCTCCTTCCATCAAGAATATTGTAGTCAACTCGAACAACTTCACCGATGGCCCCTGCAATTAATCCGAATAAACTTCTTGTGACGGATAAGCGTACCCAAACCATGATCTGTGACGGATGGTCTATTGCCGTGGAGAAGTTCCTACTCCACGGCTGAACTGTAAGATAACTGCAATAGATATGACCCACGGTCCTCCTTCCAGAACAGGATGGAAATCATTTTCATCGGCAAAACGGACGAGAAAATACTCATTACCCAGATCTATAAGAATGATTTCTCCTTTGGGATTCCACAACGCTTTAATCCTAGTCAGAGGAGCTTTGTATCCGATTGACTTACCTAGAAGCCTTATGATCACCGATTTAGCAAGTTTCGTATCGATGGCGTCATGGACACGATTAAAGAACCTGGTTTCCGGAATGGCACCCTTAGTGTTCCAAACTACATCATCCGGTCTGACTTCCACATCCAAATCCTTCATCAGAGAGTATTGCATATCCCCAATGGTCATACCCACTACCATATCACGGAATGATTTCCTCCCTGGTTCCGATTGATCCACAACTTGGTGGGTGCCCAAACCAGCAGGATAGTTCGGATTCAGCGTACCTTCATCTTCCAATCCAGAAACAACTCTCGCAGGAAGGCCATCTCCATAGCCATTCTCATGCGCATTGACCATAGGAGATCCATTACCAGCGTTCACACTAACTTCAGTCCTGCATGTTGACATCCTGGGCCGCCTCCTCCAACCGAGTGGGATCCCCACGACCCCATCTCCTAAAAATGCTCCCTCCTCCGGCGGCCTATTTCCATGAACACCGTTGACCTCCAAGACAGTGGGAGACGCGAAGAAAGCGGTATGGCTTTTCATTTGATTTTATCTTGGCTTTTTCAGTCTGAGCTGATATTTAGTTTAGGGTTTTCTTTACCAAAGTGTTAGCACATTTTAAAATCCTAATTAAATCCTAACTATACATCTAATAACTCTATAAATACATGTGGTGTACACTTTTTTTTCCCCATAAAGGCAGGTTTTCTTTCCTCTTTGAAGCATCATGTATTCATGTGTTCACAATTTTCCTTTTTACATATTAAGATTAAACCATCAACTGTTCTGTTTTTCAATGAAATTAAATCATCAAGTTGAATTATATACTAAGATGATAATTTAACATTTGTTAAAAGAATAATGATTTATAAGTGTTGAGCGAACGTGGATACGTAATTGGCTTAAAACCTGGTCTACCGTGGAAGCTTGAATTCTCTGACGCCTCCTTCTCTGATCCATTCTCTACAGATTAATCAAATAGAAAATCCATCTTCATTTCACTGGAATCACAAGCCACTAATTTTCCGTCTTCCTCTGAGAAGACCCATCCCTCTAAACCTTCAAGACAACACATATTTTCTTCCTTTTTTGTTTTTTGTTCTTTTGCTTGTGATTCAGAAATGGGGGTTCCGGTGATCAAATTTCCAATCTTCATGGTAATTAGAGTACTGGGATTCGTAATAACAGCTATTCTTTTCACCTGGACTCTTCATTACAGGGGAGGATTGGCTCTCATCTCTGATGACAAAGATCTCATCTTTAATGTAATCTCTTCCCTCTTGATCCCCCCTTTTTTTATATAATTTTTTTAAGTAGAGAATCAAGAAATTTCATTTTACTTGATTCCCCAGTTACTTTGTTTTTTGTTATATCTGGTGATCCACCGATCTTCTTTCCATTTTGCTTTATAGTTTGTGATAATATTTATAACCTGCAAATTCTGATACATTAATTTTTAGGAAAAATTGTCATTCTTCACAGTGTTTAATTGTATAATGCAGTTCCCAAGAAAGTAATACAATATGATGATCAGCATTAATTTTTAGGAAAATTTTGTCATTGCTTTTGCTGCATTTTTCCCCACCTGGAAGGGGGAAGAAAAAGAAAACCAAAAGGCATAATTGCAGATAAATGAGCAATGTTTTTGACCTGGTAAAAATGAAAAAAAAATGATTTCTATGCAGAATTACATCTACACAGAACAATTGTGTGAGAATTGGTACTATATCTTTGCATTTGTTCCTTGTTAATCTATTACAGTTATGTTTGCTTCAAAATAATCTGAAAAGCAGGTTCAACCTGTATTCTCTTTTCCATTTCAGAAAATTAAACTTTGCTGTGTACTTATTGCAGGTCCATCCTGTTTTGATGGTCATTGGACTACTGCTCTTAAATGGCGAAGGTGAATGTCATTTTTTATTGCATAAGCATGTTCTTGATGCTGCAATTTTTAGTTATATGCATCCCAACATCTCCTTTAAAGTTCTATATTTGTCCTTCTGGAATAATTTATGTATTCAGATTGAATTATATCAATAAGACCAGATGAACGAATACATATGTACTCGGGGAAAACTTCTGATGCATGTATAGGAATCAGTAGTTTTTATGACAACTTATCCTTTTTTGTCACTGATAGGTTTATTGAGGTTTTCATAGGACTTAAGAAGTGAATTGCCTATAAATTACTGGTAGAGCTACTCTAATATTTTCTGTACCTCTAAGATCTATCTGCAGTTTCTTTAATTTCCATCATATGATTTTGCTTGAGAAATTAAGCGAACTTTCATGATTTCCTAGAAGGATATTATTTGAAAATATACATTATGTATTTTGTTTTCTCTTTTGAGATATTACCGATATTGTGGACTTGGAGGGCTGCTGTGTGATATTTTTTAAGAGCTTGTGGATATGCTTAACATGGCACCTTGATGTGAGTTGATGTTTGTAAAGCTTAATTCATTAACTATGATACTTGCATTAGCTGATATGCACAAGTTTGTTTTTGCACCGGTGGAAGAGCGTTGTCCTAATTTCTTGCTGCCTTGGTGTGAAACATGACTTGCGTACAAATCTTGTGTTCTAATACATAACTTAATTCTACAATTAGAAAAATATGAATGCGAACTTTTATGGAATCTTAGAAAAAAAAGTCACCATCTTTACCGTCTTGCTCTGTTTAACTCTTGTTCTGCATTGATTAATGCAGCCGTGCTGGCTTACAAGATGGTTCCCGGGACGAAAAGTTTCAAAAAGTTAGTTCATCTTACAGTTCAATGTCTTGCCTTTATCTTGAGTATTATCGGTGTATGGACTGCTTTGAAGTTCCACAACGATAGGGGCATTGAAAACTTTTACAGTCTACACTCATGGTTGGGCCTAGCTTCCCTTTTCTTGTTCGGAATCCAGGTTCCACTCTGTTATTTCCAGTTCATTTTGGCTCCATTTTGTGAAGTTATGGACCTTAATCATCTTGTATTTTGCTTTTACCCGTGGGCCGCCGGGTTTGCAACGTTTTGGCACCCGGGTGGCTCTCGGAACAGCAGAACCGCATTGTTGCCATGGCACGTGTTCTTCGGGATGTATACATATGCACTTGCTGTTGCTACTGCTACAACGGGTATCCTAGAGAAGCTTACTTTTCTTCAAACTAACCGGGTAATATCACGCTACTCTACCGAGGCTTTGCTGGTAAACTGTTTAGGTATATTGATTGTTGCGCTGGGTGGTATTGTGATTCTGGCCACGGTCACTCCGGTGAATGGCAAAAACGACACCCACCGGGGACTAACAGAATAGGTACTACTATGTTTCCGAGGGGACTAAATGGACTCAGTAATGAAATCCGAAGGACTAGTGCATGTTAATCCGCCATGGAACTTTGAGCTGTTGATTGAATCACTTGCTATTCGTGGTTTTGTAGACGAGAAGTTGGTCCAACAAGTCTTCTGTAAATATTGGAAGTATCTTAACAAGTCTTCTGTGAATATTGGATGTTCCTGTGTCCTCTTGTAAAGGATTTCAATTCAACTTTATGGTGCTACATTATCCCTCACTTTTGACTTTTGCTCTGCCGGTGTGGGACTTTTGCTGCTTTATCGTCACAAATTTAATTTGGGATTATCCTTTCCTTTCCTTTTTTTTCGACCTATTATTTAGTTTTGCAGTATCAGCTAATAAATATGATCCTCGATATCGGCTCAATTGAAGGTGTTCGTGAATAGGTTGATCTGCAAAAGTATCAGACATCTTAGTCACAATATATAATTTAATAGTGTCAAAAGTATATCGTCATTATCTAAATTATTTTAAGCGCGGTCTGATGATCTAGTGTCAAGTTTTGCAAGCTTAGATTGCCTTTCTATTTAGTAAGGAAATAGCCCAAACAAATGACCTTACAATTTTTTTTTGAGCTTAAAATTCATTATTAACCTTTATACATCTGTCCAATACTTCATAACGATCATGTTCTTAGTTTCTTTTTATCAGTTGATTATTTGATTTATATCACTTAAATAATTTGATTGATAAAATTATAAGATTTATGATTTAAATAAAACTTATCCTATAATTGATTATTTATATAATTTAGTTTATTTTTTTTATAATATTGCCGGGACAATTCACATGATAATACATGTATGCTTCGTTCCTAATGTGACAACTTGTACTATTTAAAAATATCTAATTTTTTCTCATTGGCGTGTTGATTATCTTTTTTTTTATCTTTGATGATCGAAAGTGACATCAATTTTAATGTTGGTTGTCGACTGTCGTTATTTTTATTGACTTTTTCTTCTCTATATCATATCTTTATTTTCTTTTATTTTTTTATTTTCAATAATTTTATTATGTACTTCACGTTTTCATCTGCTTCTATGACACGCTTTCTTATGCTTTTCGATTCTTTGGCCTTTTTTCATTTTTTTTTCTAAGAGTTGATTTGATATTGTAACGACCGATCAATGTGAACCTTATCTGATATCTTGTTGATCTTTTTACTTTGGAACCTCGGATTGGATTTGGATACCCGATTTGTGGTCGTGGATAGCTTTTCACATCGTTCGAGTTTGATTTGTGGTTTGTAGGTGGTCTTTCAATAGTTTGATCCTCCTTTTGTGATTCGTTTGTTGATGCGATCAGATTTGTGTGTATCTATGTTTGTCCGAGTTTCTTGGTTAGATTTAATCTTTTCTTGTATGGTCCTTATATGATCATAAGTTGCTAGTTTTATTTCAATAATTATAGGAAATTTCCTAATTATGTTCTTAATTTACAATTGTGATTGTAGATTTTTATTACAGTTTGTGATATTTCCTATTTTAATTAAAATTAGTTACTTTTATAAAAAATATTATTGAGTAGACATTACATCACATAATCACATTAACAATAAAATATACATGAATTATCATATGAAATATCATATTAAATTTTTTTAGCTAACCCTATTCCCATATGTAATAGGATAAGGGGGAGGTAGGGTAGTAAGCTGCCCCCAACGCTAGGTTGAGAGCAACTTCCGTGAAAGACCTCCGGCAATTATGAAATATCATATTAACATCATAACAATTTAATCGTCATATTTAAAAAAACATAACAATTGACTGGCACATATTGAATGTTAAATTTAATTAAAATATAAAACAAATCTGTTAAAATTATAAATGTTAGGGAATAAATTTATCAGTACGTTTAAAATAAATTATTAAAATGAAAACAGCCTATTAAAAAAGATACACCAGCTTTGAAACACATAATTATGCCATTTGAAGGAGCTAACAAAGAATTACAAATATATTAAATAAAAATTTATTTTACAAATTTTAAATTTAATTCTAATTTTATCTAAAGAGGATGGGAAAGGAATACTCTAAAGAAAAGAAGACGATAACTTTAGTTAATTTTAATCAACCGACCAAATGTGTTTACTAATAAAAAATTATAAATGAACATTAAAAATAATTATTGATAAGATAGAACGATAAAAATATATACAATTATCGATAAAAATAAAAGAGTAGAAAACAATTATTAATAAAAATATACACAATTAGCATGAATTAAATTATTTTATTGGTTAAAAGGATGTTATTATCTTTAGAAGTCCTAAGTTCAAGCACTAGAACTGCAAGGGTGATAAGATTTATCATCAAATTGTTGAGAATTTTTAGAAGAGATAATACCTTGTAAATTGTAATTACTTAGATTATATATATATATATATATATATGTATGTATGTATGTATGTATGAATTGTGAGTATTGAGTGATCAATAGCGAATAGAAAATTAAAAACTGTAGTGAGATAATGAGTTTGATGGAAGAAACAGTGACAGTGACGATAAAAGTGGTAGATAAAAAATTAAGTGTGGTTGGTGAGCAGGCAACTTCATAATCTTAAGTTCAATTATAGGATTCCCCCCCCCCTCCCTCTATAATCACCGGAATCCTACTAACGACAGTTAATCGTGGCTTCTTCGACCGGTTGATACTTCACAAATACACGTGTATATATATATATATATATATATATATATGTGTGTGTGTGTGTTTGACTTAGTTTCTTTTAATATATCTTATTCATCAATAGAAAGAGTTATATATACACAATCAATATAACTAAATTAGATAATATATCACATTTAATGGAATATATATTAAACTATGTAACGGGATCCATTACGTCATTCAACCTTCTTTGTCTCATTCTCCTTTTCCACCCCTACTTCCATCAGTATCAAACGCATTGACCTGTGAAACACGGTCCGTAAAGATATAAATTGCTCGGCCCTACACGATGGAAACCACTCCAGAGTCTTGGTTGGCTTATTTACGGGTCATTTCATGGTAGACTTTAAGATATTTTAATCTTTTAGTCCTCTTTATTCTCAACTGCTTCTTCCTTAAGACCAATCCTTTACGAGAATACCATTTCCAACTCACGGTTTCAGACCCTAGCATCAATGGCACGGATGTTGAGGTTGATAGAATCCCTGAAAATAACTGGTATGAGTTCCCCTTCTGTTTTCTTTGGGTTTTCTTTCACGTCGTGAACAAGTCAAGGATGTTGATTCTTAGGCAGTTTCATTGCATCTTCAGTCTTGACTATTTGGGATTCTGTCTTTGTCTGTGTTTGAGTATTGATGGGTCTTGCTTGTGTTGAATTTTGCTGGATCTGTGTATATTTATGTGTTCGTGGAATTATTTGATCTACTTTCTGGTTTTATTTAGGACTCTCTTCTGTTAGTTTGGTTTAAAAGAATTGTGTCAATGCTGCAGGAACATCCCCCGTTGTTGGACTGCTTGTAATCTATATGTCCTTCCAGGTTCTGGTGTGTATGTGCAGCATTGAGTATAGGAATTCTCCGGAATGTAACAAACCTTTCGCTTGCGGACTCGTCCGAGATCTGCGGTATCCGTTCCGACAAAGGGGTAGTCCGGCATATTGCGGCGAACCGGGATTCGAGATTTATTGCAGTAAGAGTGGTAATCCCATGATTAACATCAGTTCACGCAGTTACCAAATTCTGGTATACAACACCACCCTTAAGTCTCTCACTCTTGCTCCTATGGATAATTCGGATAGTGTGCTTTGTCCCCGGCACCTTGTCAACACATCTTTGAATCTCCGCCCTTTCCGTGCTGCTTGGAATACTCGGAACATATCGCTCTTTTACGATTGCCCTGCCGTTGCGAATCAGTATGAAGGGCTTGCTAATCATCAGTTCAATTGCAGCATGAATGGAACTGATACTTTAGGCTACTTCGTGGTCACATCTTTGTTTTCTAACCTCTCGGCTGAAGCAAAGGGTGCATTGAGATCGTGTCGTAGTAAAGTTCTCGTCCCGGCATTCGCTTCAATATTACAGGTTTTGGAGCACGGACCGAGTCCAGCTACTCTGAACGTCACACTTGATAATGGCTTTGCAGTGCAATGGGAAGAAAACAATCCCATCACAGGTATCATAGTCTATACACATTCTTCTTCATTATATGCCCTTTTGCTAAGATTTGTAACTCCATTTTTGCTGGTTGCAGGGTCATCAGATGGTTTCGGTTCAACGTTTAAGTTAGCCATAGGTAGGTACTATCGTTCGTCATTTCGATTCAATTGAAACTATGAATTGCAGCTAGCTAATACTCCTAACTTGGTTGACTCATTACTCTGTGAAATAGGCTTGGGTGTGGCTGCAGTTGTTGTTTTGGTAATCGCGGTTATGGTGGTAACTTTCCGGATTAAGAAAGAATCGTTGTCAAGAGGAGTGTTGTTGAAGTTACAAAGAGGGAAAAGGAAGCAATGGGAAAGGATTGAGGCTTACATATTGAAGTACGGCTCCGAACTTGCTCCGAAACGATATTCCTACGCAGACATCAAGAAAATAACCAAGTCGTTCAAAGACGAACTCGGTCAAGGTGGATTCGGAACCGTATATAAAGGTACGTTACCGGACGGACGACTTGTTGCCGTAAAAGTCCTAAACGAATCCAAGGGGAGTGGAGACGAATTCATAAATGAAGTGGCTAGCATTAGCAGAACCTCCCATGTTAACATAGTGGCATTCGTTGGTTTCTGCTATGATCTCTCGATAAGAGCTTTAATCTACGAATTCATGCACAATGGATCGTTGGACAAGTTCATCTGCCATCGAGATTCTCCCGATAAACCCGATCAGCTGGAAACGAAAATATTACACAACATCACGATCGGCATCGCCAGAGGATTAGAATATTTGCATCAAGGCTGCAACACGAGGATCCTACACTTTGACATAAAACCTCACAACATCCTCCTAGATGAAAATTTCTGTCCCAAAATTTCGGATTTCGGGCTGGCTAAACTATGTGAACGGAAGGACAGTATCATTTCGACGATAAGTGCTCGAGGAACCATCGGATACATTGCTCCAGAGGTATTCTGCCGAAGCTTTGGTGGAGTGTCGCACAAGTCTGATGTTTATAGCTACGGGATGATGGTCCTTGAAATGGTTGGAGAGAAAGAAAACATTCATAGTCAGACCAATAATCCGAATTTTCCAATATGGATTTATGAACGTCTTAATGGAGCAGATTTGAATCTTGAAGGAATGACCGCTGAAAATGAAGAACTAATCAGAAAGATGATCATAGTGAGTTTGTGGTGCATTCAAAGTAATCCATCGGATCGACCGTCGATGACTCAGGCCATCGAGATGTTGCAAGGAAGCATCGAATCGCTGTCGATTCCGCCGACGCCGTTTCTGTTTTCTCCTCCGAAATCGCCTGAGAACACCTCACATCATCATTTTTCACACCGTCCGGCATTCAAGTGGAGTACAGTGGATCTGGTTTGTCTAGCGTGTAAAACAAATTGTGAGATAGAGAGGTGTACGAACTCATAGACTGGCTAATATGTATTTAGTATTTGGTTACTTTCTTAGCATGTTGAACAAACTAGGTTTTATGTTTTGTGAATATATGACAAATGATAATCAATGCATTTTTTTATTTTCTTTTCACTTTTAGCACATGATGAAATGATTTTTTTTTACATCAAATTACATATTTAGTCACACGACTAATATTTTAGTTCCGTTTTAGGACAAATTTGTTCGTGTGTAACAGTGTACAAAAGGAATTCCCCATACAAGACACCCATCAAAGGAATACAACGCGACTTCAATTTTTTCGGAAAAGATCGCATGGACTACAGTGTCTTCCTCATCACCAGTGACGGATGTACGTAGAACCTAGGTGGGTACGTGCCTATCCTGAAATCCGAATTTTCTTATGTTGTTTTTTTTATTAAAGGTGTCCACGTTGAAATTTTATTTGTATTCACCCATACGAAAATTTTTCATTATAAATACATATGTGCCTACAATAAAACATATTTCTGATCTGTCACTATCTATCACCGGCTATTTTTTCTTTACTCTACATTTCTATGGATGTTGTTTGGAAAAACCGAAGACGCATGGTAATCCGTACATCTTCCATAAAAAAATTAAAATCACACAGTGTTCATGGTGTCCTTAACTGACACTGTAGCAATAATCCTAGATTAAGAAATAATATTAGGGTCTTATGTAGGGGAATTATTTCTTCCCATTACTGTACACGAGTATATTTATCTCCGTTTTAGTTATCCAAGTAACTTTTTTTCAAGACAACAATATACCGTTCTTTAAAAAATAAAATGAAAATTGCCATTTAGGTTGCAAATACCCGTCATAACAATGAGATGATCATCTATTAATAATTACTCCCTTTTCTTATTTGAAGCAATTTGGGAAATTTTAATGCATGCATATAACCCATGTTGACAAATTTGTCTCTTCTGAAACTCCAAATTTTTTCTTTTTAATCCCTTCCTGAAATTAATAAATGAAAATAGAATCTTCTAGTTGGGATGTAAAATCAGGTAATCGTTCAAGTTTCAGTCGGATCATGTCAAGAAAAATCGGATACAAGTCATGTCAGGTCGGATCCAGGTCAAATCAATTCGGGTAATTTTCATGTTGATTTGACACCAATTTCATTTCAGGTTCAGATCGGGTTAATTTCAGCTCAAATCAATGTCAGTTCAGGTCCAGAGCAGTTAAACACCAGGTTAATTTAGGTTTGGATGGACTTCAGTCGGATCTCGTTCAGGTCACATCATTGACATATAAAATTCAGGTCGAATCTTTTACCATATACAGATTGAGTTCAAGTCGGTCATTTTTTATTTTTGGATTAATTATTTTTCGCCTTTCGTGAACATTGAATTGCACTTTGTAATTGTATATAATTTAGAGTAAATTACTAAAAATATAAATAATCATGGATCAATTTTTATAAAAATATAAATTTAAGGACTAAATTGAATAAATATGAAATTAGAAATAAAAATTTAAATAAATTAAACAACACAAATTGATGAGGGACCAAATCGAAATAATTTTAAAATGTGATGTTGAAACTAATATAAAAAAGACTAAATTATGCCCATTTAAAAAGTTATGGGACAAGTACAAAAATATAAATAATAAATAAGTATGGGCCAAATCAGATGCAAATATAATTTGAAGGATTAAATTAAAAAAATATGAAATTAGAAATAAAAATTTAAATAAATTAAACAACGCAGAGTTCAAATCAAAATAATTGTAAAATGTAAAGAAAATATGTTAAATAAACTAAATTGCATTTATTTCAAAAGGAGAGAAAAAATTGAAATAATTATATATAATATATATATATACATATATGTAAACTTATAATAATATATATGTATAAACTATGTATAAATTATATAGTTTATATTTATATAGTATGTATAAATTATACTATATATAAACTATATATATATAAATATAAATATATAATATATAATATATATATATATATATACCATGTAGTTTATATTTATACTATATATAAATTATATATATTATGTATAAACTAGTTAATTTGTTAATATAAATTATATAGTTTATATATAAAATATACATGAACCATATATAAATTATATAAATTATAAAATATAAATAATAACATAAACTATATATATACCATGTAGTTTATATTTATATACTATATATTATTAGGGTTATAAATATTAATCTAAGTTTTATATTTTAGATAAAAATTATATTTTATGAGAACAAAGAAATATTTTAAAATTAAGTAGTTTTTAAGTAGTATTGGTTACTGTTGAACTACTAAACTTCTCCCTAAAACTAAACTTGATTTATATGATAATTATTATTTTATGATTTTACACGATTAATGGAATAATTGTAAAGTTAATAATAGAATGTTTTATAATAGAATAAAATTTTAAACATTTATAATTAATGAATATTTATAAAATTGATGTAACATCTTTTAACTTAAATTTATTACACCTACTTCTAACTCCGAAAAATTCATAATCTTTTAGTTTTATATTAATTTTTTTCTATGGCCGCTGCTTAAATAAATTGAAGCCAGAGCAATTGCATATAAATATATATTAATTAATGGTAGAAAATGTTGACTTTCTTTCATGTTCGTACACTTGTCCACCCAGTTAGGTTTCTAGCCATTGCTTGGGTTGATTTTTTATTTGTCAAGTTTTTAATAAAAGATTTATCCGCGAGTTATAATTAGCACTACTAATGATGGGCATCATTAATTTAATTTATAAAATTTAAAATTTTAAAGGGTTTAACGTATAAATATAAATTAAAATAAAGGGTAAACTATAACAGTAGTCACTTAACTATTGTTCCTTTCCATTTTGACAACCATTTTTAAAATTTTATCAATCAGGTCACTCAACTATTTAAATGCATTCAATTAACTCACTTATTAATATTTAACGGAGAAACTGATGTGACAGTTAAAATATTTGATACAATTATACATTTGGTCACTGTTACTTTATATTCTATTAATTTAGTCTTAATTTTAATAAATTAAAATAAATTTAACCCTCAAAGCTAGTAATAACAACAAAAATTGTAAAAGTCATCCTTTGATGGGTAAAAGGAATCGACATTGGAATTGTTGATGACTTTGACAGAATAAAATGAAGAAAAAAATTTAAATATTTTTAAAAAGGAAAAAGAAATAAATAAAAGCAAAATCCTAACAGAAAAATATATTTTGGTTACATAATAAAATATAATTTTAAATATTGAAATGAAAAAAATGTCACCTACAGTACTAATCTTGCATATAATTTGATACTTTTTTATTAAACAGAACAAGCAAAATGAATAAACTGCACATAGAAATCTTTTTTTTATTAATGCACATAAAAATCAAATGTCGGAATCTGCTCCCAGCAAGGCCACAACAGGTTGATGAGTTTCTTTGTATTTTTTAAGTTCTCTATTGAGGTTTGTAAATTGTTTTGGTCTTTAAACATTGAACTTCACCTGTGTCAGTGTTGGAACTTTAAAGCTATGCAATGCAAGAACGGTGACTTTATAATTTTTTATTTTTATTTTTACATTTTTGATATGCTTGATGTAAAGCTATTTAGATGAATTGTTGGATGCAGGTGCGTTAGTAAGCACCCATAAAATTAGAGTAACGTGTTTTGGTTTCAATTTAATACTTGAATTTGATTTTAATGTTTAATGTGATACTTAATTTTCATTTTAATCTCTAATTAAACACTTAAATTTAACTTTTTAATTCAAAACATAGCTTTTGTTCCAAATTGATAGTTTATATTATGTTGGAGTTCCTAAGCTAAAGTTGAAGGGTTAAGTTTATTTTAATTTATTAAAATTATGACCAAATTGATAAAATATATAAGTAACAGTGACCAAATATAATTATATCAAATATTTTAACTGACAAATCAGTTTCTATGTTAAATATTAACGACAAGTGGCTTAATTGAATGCATTTAAATAGTTGAGTGACTTGATTGATAAAATTTTAAAAATAGTAGTTAAAATGAAAAGGGGCAATAGTTAGTGGTGCTCATTTAGATTTTTTTTAAAAATAATTTACCTTTAATTATTTTAACTAATTTATAATTATACGTTTATCCCTTTAGAATTTTAAATTTTATAAATTAAATTATTGATGTTCATCGTTAGTGGTGCTTATCGCCACTCGTCGATCGTGGTAGAATTTTCCTTTGTTTAAACACTTCTCGTTTGATAGTCATGTTATTTAACTAATTCTTAGAGTATTTAATTTAAACAATAATGTATTAATTTAATATTCTATTTTAGACTCAATTAAATTATAATACAAATTTATTTCTTCAATAACTGAGAAAATATTATTACTTAAAAAACATCTTTATATATTATAAAATAATAATAAATTTTGGTAAATTTAAAAATCATTTTGTAATAATTCGATAATTTTAATAATCATTTTATAACATTTGTTGATGAAAATATTTTTAACATAACTAAATGGCCTCTGGTGTACTTTACCCAAAAAAATCAAATAAAGATTTATGATAATACTAGTGACCACCAAATGTGGAACAAAGTTTTGAATACAATACATTAATATTGCATGTTGTGTGATAAATCAAAATAATTTTCTTGAATTAGCTAGCTTTGCTATTCAGAGAAGCATCATGAAATTTAATTATCAAGGAATCAACCCATCTTAAAGAAGTGAAAATACATGCAGCAAGGCCTTTTCTTAAGCTTTATTCATCCCCCTCCCTGCTACCTTTTTCCAAGTCAACTTCAATCTCAACTTTCCTAATGACCAAACAATATTATAATTATGGCCGCAGCTGATGTATTTCGAATCATGGTGCATTGTTCGCCTTCAATCATGGTAAATAGCTGCATTTAGAAACATATGGCTCAACCATTTTCCAAGCCATTCCCAATGAATAACCTTGTGTTCCATGCTCTCTCTTTCGTCCTTGGTTTGTCAATTGGTGTTCTCATCATCGCTTCACAGCTTGAAAGCTTCACACTACTTCTTTCTCAAGCCTCCTCTTTGGTCTACACTGCTTCTCCACCGATTCCGCCATCACCGCCGCCGTTGTTATCGATGCCACATCCGCAGCCTTTGTCGTCGCTGTCGACGAATGGCGGCACATCGTCCGACTCTAGCGGTGCCGTTTCGTCGGAACAAGATGAACCTGTGATGCACAATATGAGTGACGGAGAGTTGTTACTGAGAGCATCTAGGGTTGCAAGAATTTACTCGTCCGAAGGTAGCTTTTATGTTCTTGACGGCCGGCCCGCTTCCCTTGGGTCCGTTGTGGGAAAAGTTTTTCAAGGGAAACGAAGGCTTTTACACGATCTACGTTCACTCACATCCTCATTACAATGAAACAATCCCTCTAATTTCAGTCTTCTACGGTCGAAGAATCCCCAGCCTGGTATATATATATAGTGCCCTGACTATCACTTTTCTTTCATTTTAGTCACTCAACTTTTTCTTTTCAAAATTATACCTAACATTTAGTTTTGGTTTTATTTTGATCGTCCATTGTTAAAATGTTATTAATGATGCTAACATGTCACTATAAGATAATACCACGTCATAATTGAGAGAAGATAAAAATACCAAATCAACAATTCTGTTAATTTTTTATTGGCGGGAGACCAAAATGTAATGTTAGGTATGATTTTGAAAAACAATAATCGGATGACCAAAAAGGAATAAAAATGATAGTTGGAGTACTAAATGTATAATTTACCCTATATTTTTACTGTAAAAAAATTGTTATTTTCACTGGGAGGTTGATAACTATTGTAATTGATCTTCATATTAAGTTATCACAACCGAAATGAAAATTTTGCGCAAACATTGAATTGATCTTAATTTGAGAACTTTATTTATTTATTTTTTAATTTCAAATTGTTGATTTTTTGTGGGTGCGACAGCCAGTGTATTGGGGGACTGTAGCAATGGTTAAACTCATGATTTTAGCTTAAAATACCTATAAACACCTCTAATCCAAATAAAATATAGAAGATCATTGTCTTATTTTATGTATTTGCACATATATTTATTTAATATGACGGGAACAGTTTATCCATAGTAATGATTTTTATAATCTGATTAGATATATAGCCTTGACAGTATTAGATATGAGACATAAGTTTGACTTGAAGGGGTTCGAGGAAATAACGCACTAATATCTTTTAGTTTAATATAAAAATTAAATTTATTTAAAAATTCTACCTTAAGTATAAATTTTAAAAAATATATCATTGCACGATTTTATAGTCCATCAATTAAATATAACAGCCTTATATATAAAATTAAACCAATCAAACATGGTAATACCTTTTATAACGATGGAGGGTTATTATAAAATAGTACGTGTTTGAGATTTTTTTAAACATCGATAATTCACACGCACCTGTGTTGATAAAGTAATGTAAATATGTTAAAAATAATATTATATTCCAAAAAATAGGATTGATAGAGGTTGGTGAATTAGAAGTCTGGTGGCCGTTCTCTCGGTTTGCTTAAAAACCCGAGCTTTACCAATCCTTATCCGTCGTATAAGGTATGAATCCATATAAGGTATGGTATTGAGCGTAACTAACCCATATAACCGTCGCATTGGATAGGGTAGAATCAGAGCTGTAAAGGATTAATATTGGAACTGGCAGAGTTCCAATTGGGCCCCACTTGAGCTCACACTGCAGGCTGCAGTAAGAGCAGATAGTTGTATAAGTAGCCATCTGCTTCTAGCGTAATAGCATTCTCTCATAAAACTCTTCCACCAAACCCAGGAAAAAAAAGGCAGGTCCCTTGTGCTGTGTTCCGATGGCGGACGCTTATTTGCAGCAGTTCGTAGATGAGTCCACCATGTTCAATCACGTTGTTTTGGGGAACCTTTTGCCGACCAGTCTGTGGGGTCCTTTACCCCATGTCGTGCAGACATGGCTACGGATCTACGTTGCTGGGATTTTGCTCTACTTCATTTCTGGCTTCCTGTGGTGCTTTTATATTTACTACTTGAAACACAATGTTTATATCCCCAAAGGTGCTGTTTTTTTCCCGTTTTATGTCGATTTTAAATCTGGGTTCGGTTTATTATTGTTTTGTTGTTGTTTTGTCTTTAGTCGATATAATAAATAAGGATTTGAATGGACGTGACAAGGCCAATTTTTAATACATGCAGATGCTATCCCTACAAATAAAGCCATGCTCTTGCAGATTGGTGTTGGCATGAAGGCCTGGCCGGTTTACTGTGCTCTCCCGACTTTCTCCGAGTACTTGGTCGAATCCGGCTGGACCAGATGCTACGCTCGAGTCAGCGAAGTCGGCTGGCCACTGTACCTATTACATGTATTTCTTTATCTCACGGTGCTGGAGGTCGGTGTTTACTGGATGCACAGAAAGATGCATGAGATCAAACCTCTATACAAGTATGTTCATGCTGTCCATCACATCTACAACAAGCAACACACCATTTCTCCATTTGCTGGTAAGTTCAGTGATTAAAATCAAAATTAGAAATAAAATTATGACTGAAAACAATTTTTTGTGTTTCAGGTTTGGCTATTCACCCTCTGGATGGGATCCTGGAGGCTACGCCTCATGTGATAACGCTCTTCATCGTGCCGACTCATTTTACGACTCATCTGGGACTGATGTTGTTCGAGTCGATCTGGGCGATGAACATTCATGATTGCATCCATGGTAACCTACGGGCCGTGATGGGTGCTGGCTACCACACCGTTCATCACATTACGTATCGCCATAACTACGGCCATTACACCATATTGATGGATTGGATGCTCGGAACTCTACTCGATCCTGTCGACGGTGAAGGCAAGAAAGTGATGTAATTGTGTTAGACAAGTCATTCTGACTAAAAAAACTTTGATCTGTGTAAAAGTTTTTTCAGCTAATAAAGATGAAAAAGAAGAATCTTTTTTCCGGTTCTTCAAATTGAAGTCAACTATTGTTCTTTCTTCATTGAAAGTGTGTTCTTTTATTATTATTATTATTATTATGTTTCTTCCTTGTTTGATTCAACGGTCCCACAATGGACCCAACCAAATTTTACCATTAATAAGTTTCTACTTACCATAATATGTTGGATTATTTAAAGCACATGTTTCTTCTACTGCTGTCTACAGTGAATAGTGATGCTTAGATACTGATGGAGTATAATTTTGCTTCAATTTGTTCAAATACCTTCCCTGAGAAAGGTCTTCTCCGAAGAAGACGATGCCGATAGCGGCTGCAACGACAATGCTCCTTCATTCTTTATTTATTGTATGATAATTAAGTATTTGTCTTGTTCAAACTTGATCACTAATAATTTTGAGGATAAATCACGCTTTTAATACCTAAACTATCAGTTTTAATCCGTTTTAATAACTAAACTTTTAAATTTTTTCAAAACCATACCTAACGTTTAGTTTTTGTTTCATTTTAGTACCTCGTCGTTAAAAACTTAACGACACTACATTTTTATGGACAAATTACATCATTCATCACTCAACTTTTGTTACTCCTATTTTGGTACTAAAGTTAAAAAAATTTCAATTTTTAACTACTCAACATTCAAATTGCTCCTGTTTTAATCACTCAAATTTATTTTATTAATAATTTTTGTGACATGACATTTTTATTATTATTTTATTAATATATAAATAAAAATTAAAAATAAATTTGAAAGTTAGAGTGATTAAATTAGGAGTAATTTGAAAGTTAAGTAATTAAATTAAAAAATAAACTTTAGTAACCAAAATAGGAGTAAGAAGATAGTTAGGTGATGAATTATGCAATTTACCCATAAAAAGGGGCCATGTGCGAATCACCCATCAAGTTTTTAACGGTGAGGTATTAAAACGAAAAAAAATTAAACATTACGTATGATTTTAAAAAAATAAAAAATTAAGTACTTAAACATATCAAAACTTATAGTGTAGGTACTAAATGCATAATTTACCCTAAGTTTTATTTAGTTGTCATAATAAGTATATTTTTATTTATTTTATATTAACATTGAAAAAAATTAAAATCTATGATTAAAAATATATGATTGAGATTGACAATATTAAGTGAGAAAATATTCTCAAAAAATGAGATAATATCATATTCTCTCATCCAACAATTTATATAAATGGGTTAAGACTTAAGATCTAAGTGAAACTAGAATAATGAGATTATCTCCTTTTTGTGTGAATATCTTATCATTTTCTATTGTTAGTATTAACCATCAATTTTCACTCATTCAACAATAATAAAAAAGTATAAATATAAAAATGAAAAATTCTACAATGCTCGACGAGCACTGGTGAGCACCACTAACGATGATCACCATTAATATTTTATAATTAAAATTCTAAAGAACTCAACTTATAATTATAAATTAATTTAAAAATTAAAAGAAATTATTTAAAATAAAATATTAATTATATTATTCTCCATAATTTTTTATAATTTTTAAAAGAAAATTATAAATTTTTTATTGTTAAAAAATAATGAAAAATAATATAATCAATATTTTTTAAAATAACTATAATATTTTTTTTCTAATTTATAATCATACATTGAGTCTTTAGAATTTTAATTTTTTTTATAAATTAATTGTGCTCAGCTGTACTTATCGCAGGGACGAAACTAAGGATTTATTATAGCGGGTTAAAATATTTTATATTTTTCATAAATATAATTGTTTTAATTGTGGAGACCTTGTAATTTTTCTTTATTTTTTTAAAAATATATTTTTACTATATTAATTAATGATTTAAAAAATAATAATTCGCTGGAGAAAAGCTTCCCTTTTCTCCCGCGATGTTCCGCCAATGACTCATCGTTAGCGTTATTTAGCGGAACTTATCGAACGAGGAAGACTCGTCCTATAACAATAAAATAAATTATACAACGTAAGCAAATCTTACCTCATATATATATGTATTATAATAAAAGTCTTACCATAATTTTATTCTATTAACTTTTTAAATTTATATATTAGTGTTTATAAATTTTATAACAGATGAATCAATTTTATTATTTTATAATATGCATGAACCAATTTATTTATTTTTAATAAGATCACATCAAGATATAATAGAAAGACTCTTATTCACATTTAGAATAAAAAAGATTAGTTTGTTCTCATCCTATAAAACATTGTAGTGAGTGATATCATCACTTATGATTGATTAATAATCGGTAATTGTTTTTTTTCCCTTCAGAATTTCTAATATCATTTTTTTTCGTATCATAGCAAAACAACATAAAAACATTTGACTTGAATATAACTCATTTCCTTTAATCTTACTTATATTTTTCATTTTTCAACCCATGACGCACCTACCTCTTTGAATGTTTTGATTACTCGTGCTATGTACAAGGCTATATATAAATTTTTTATCGTATTATTGTCCATCAATAATCCAGCAGTCACGTTCCACGGTTTTTTTTGGCTCAATACCCCATGAGAGTAAAAAAATTAGGGTATTGGGCCAACCCGAGAATTATTTAGCAAACTACGACATTTGATATAGTCTCCTAAAACTCGTCACCTCGATGTGATGAATTTCATGGGATATTATTTTTTAATGATTTTCGATTAGTGGATCCTACGTGGACCATTATTTTAATAGACTTTTAGTGACTTGTCACGCAGAAGTGAATAGTCCACTAAAAATTATTTTTTAAAAAATAAAAAAATAAAATCAAGAAAATCATGGAACTCGCCACGTCGAGAAGACGAGTTCCTTTGAATTAAAAAAAAACTAGTAGTTGGCTAGCCATTGATCAACAGGCAAACGGGTAGCAACGGACATTAACAGTCGCTTGTAACTCGTCACCTCAAGGTAATGAGTTCGTCCAAGGTTTTCAGAAAACTAGTCGTTTATAGTCGTTATGGAATGTTATAAATAGGGGTTTGGGTATTTCACCAAACCCTGAATCCAAAAAAATTAGAAAAACATATGTTATGCGAAAATCCCAAAAAATGACATCCTGGGAGTATATGTTTTTCCTGGATAACGTCCATGTTTCGTTGATCCAACGCGAGTCGGACGACGAATGCTATATTATTTTTACGTGGTTTCAAGGTGTACCCAGAGTTGATCGAGGCTTTGATCGAACGTTGGCACCCTGAGACACGCATGTTCCATTTCCCGAGTGAAGAAGTGACGATTACTCTGGAAAACGTCACTTACCAACTTAGTGTTCCTGTCAATGGAGCCCCTGTGGTTACGCATAACACATACGACTCCTCGACGTTGATTTATGATGTTTTAAGAAAATGACCACCATCCGACGTCATGAGGGACTATCGAGTGATGATAACGTGGCTAGAGTCAAAATTCCAAGTCACAGACGAGTCTACCGAGGCGGAGGTTGTTTTCGCATCCCGAACATTTCTTCTCCAACTAATCGAAGGGACATTATTATCGGATAAATCCGGTAATTTTGCGTACACGTAGTATTTATGATATTTGGAAGAGTTCGGTATGTGCCATAATACCAGTTGGGGTTCGGCGATTTTGGCCTTTCTTTACCAGGAGGTTTGTAAGGCTGCAACTATCCAGCGGGGTCGAAAGGCTGATGTAGCAGGCTGCCTGATACTGCTACAATCCTAGGCCTGGTATCGCTTGCCGTTTTTTACGCCGATTACAAATGCCCTGATTAAGTTTTCTCTAGCTGCATGGTAATTGTTTAACTTCATTTATTTAACTTTTTTTAATCTAAAAAAATTATTTAGTTTTTATTTGTTTATAATATTTTTTTATTTTTAAAAATTTTAGATGGCGTCATAAAATATCAGAGATAAAGTTGGTGGTTGCCAATGCACAAGATATATGGATGAGGATCGACATTGTCGGTCGACATGCGATATAACATACGAAATTTGTTATTTTTTTGAATCTTTTTTTACTTTATATATACTAATTTTGATCTTTAATATTTACAGTTCTCTTGCCTTCCGTATGTCGATGAGGAGATCAACCACATATTACTGGGGTGATTTTTTGAAGGGTTTCACTTATGGTGTACCGCAAAGCTATTATTGCACCAAGCAATTATTGAGTGGCACGCGACTAATAGAGTGATGCGCCAGTTTGCAGCGCACCAACAGATTCATACGAAAATGGAGGCTGATATGGACATGCTCCATACAATCGATACGCGTGGGTAACATACGAAAAATCACTAGTGCAACACGCTTACTACATCGACCTATGAAATTAGTGTAAACTATCACTCCCCCAGCATCAGAACATCACACCGTTAGACCTAGATTTCAACCATTCTCCATATCTCCAGCTTTACGAAAAATGGCAAACCATATCTGACGACACTAGAAGAGAGGCAGAAGGGCAAAATCATCAGGCCAGACGCGCCAAGTCGAAGTCCAAGAAGAAAGCATTGTTGTCTTCTGCTTCCGCTTCATCATCTACTGCTGAATAGTACTATCATGCATCCCAGGCCAGTTTCGATTTCTTTCCTCCATTTCATGCTTTAGACGAGACTCGATCGAATTGGGTTGGAGGTTCATTAGATGCACCGCTGTACACTCAAGCATCTTCGACAGAACATGCGGTTGTGGGTGAGTGGGATCATATCCTATATGGTCAACAAAGTAGCAGCCAAGTTGAAGCAGTTACGGCGATGATGGCATCAAATATCATTAATCCATCACTGTATGGAGAAGGTGGATTGCAGAGTGTGATCGGTACATATCCTCGGCAAGACTATGACAACGACGATGATCAAGGCCTACGACCCGACATACTCGACGAGCCTTGCGACATTATCATTCGTCAAGAACTTAGAAGACATATAAATTTTCTTTGTAATTTTCATGTAAAAATTTATT